TTTTAGTTTTAGAGAGGGAACTTTCAGCTCACAGAACCGCTCAGCCTGCAATGGAAAAAGCAGCAGCAGAATCGTGCCTTAGCAGCCTGGCCCGGAGTGCACGCCCCAGAAGGCTGCTGTGGCTTTGATGTGGTCCCACAAATGGGACCAGGCAGGCTGGGACGAGTGGCATGGAATAAACCTGGCCCAGCCCAACCGTGCTGGCCCAGCCATGGGCAAGAGCTTCCCAGTGCAGGGCGCCTGCCATGGTTCCTGTTGCCAGACAAGTGACTGCTTGTGGAGAAAGTAAAGCTCTTGTTCTATGAATTGCTGAGTCCTTACACTCAGGCCTATTCTGATAACATGGGCTCAAACTGCATGTCCGTGGGCACACGCATTTCAACACCCAACAAGACACACGTGCACATATGAACCCGGATGAGCGCGGTGCTAGTGCACACACAGCCCTGGAAGCTTCACCTGCACATGCAGACTCCTGTACCTTGGGCAAAGAGAAAGCCAGCCTGCCTGGCTCGGTGCCCCCCCATTCTCCACTTCTGAGTTCCTTCCATGGCAACATGTCTGGAAGAAACTTGGCACTGGAGATGGACGCTGGTGCAGGAATGGCGAGGTGGGGTAGGAAGTGGGGGGGGGACGGTGGGCAGAGGTCATTGAAGTCATACTGCTTTGGGGAGGGCTGGGCTTACCAGTGCAGGCTAACAGCTCCCTTTCCAGAGGTGTATACCCAGTCTCCTAGGCCTCGTTTTCCTTTTCTGTGAAGTGGGACTGATAATGGTCTTGGTATCTATCTTCTGGGGTGCTGAGGTGAGATCCGGGGTGTAATGGATGTAGAAGACCTTTTGCGCTCATAGTTACTAACCTGCAGGAACCTGGAGCTTGGGGCTCCCAGCTCGGCCACCATCTCTGGTTTCAGGTGGGTCGCTTTGCCTCTGCCTCAATCCCTGCATCCTTGATGGGGCCGGGGGGTGCCTGCTGCTATGACCGTATAGGGAAAGCACTTGGAAAGGTGCCCAGCGTCTAACTACCCCAAACCCTGAGTTTTGACAGCCACGGAGCTGACCGCGCGCTCCGAGAGAGTCGTACAGTCAGGCGTCCCTGACCCTCGGAGGCCTAGAGCCGCCCATCAGGTGTGGGGCTGAGTCTGGGCTGCACACACACACTCATGCAGGTGCAGGAAGACAGCGTGGGAGTGACCAGACAGCCCAGGACTGCTGACGACAGTCACGCAGCAGCCGTGACGAGCCCGTCCCCCAGCCGCCCTGGCACTCAGGTGCCGAGGCTGTTGCTCTTTGTGCTTCCCTTCCTCCTTGTGCCCTCTGCCCTACTTCAGCTCAGGTGACTGTCTCCTCTCACCTGTGCTCCCCTTCCGTGATCAGTGGAGTCCGCCTCACAGCGAAGTCTCTCCCTGTCTTCCACCCCTGCTGCCACTCCCAGCTGCCCTCAGAGTCCAGGTTCTTCTGCAACTCCTGAGATGATCAGGGCCCGGCCTCCTCGCCCCTCTCCCTGCAGGGTTCTTGTGCTCAGCTCACACCGAGTATAGGAGCATTTGCCAGGCTGGCCTGCATTTGCCAGGCTGGCCTGCATGGGACGGTGTGTTCGGCAGGATGGGTGGGCCATGCTCTGTGGCAAGTAGCCCACCAGTGTATTTCTCTGTCACGTGCTCTGTCCTAAATGAGTCCATTGTGGGGCAGCCTTCTGTTCTGCACAGTACCTTGCGGCCTGGGACGGTGGAACCTTGAGGCCTGGGACGTCCTCTGACCCCTTCAACCAAGGGTCTGTCCTGAAGTGTCACAAGCAGGCGGGAGGGTGGGGCGGTTTAGAGCTGAGCCTGCTGACTTGTCTCCTACCGTTTACCGCTCCAGTCCAGTTCTGAGGAAACTCCCCGCAACTGCCCAGACCCAAGGGCATCATTGTCCTGCTTCTCTCTAAGAGGATCCCCCCAGACTCCACTTCTCTCAGACACAGTTCAGAGAAAAGCTGTGCTGCCCTTAGCAACAGGTGTTTTTGTCTTACAGACACTGACCACATGGCAATTTGATTCTCTTTCCTTTGTCGAATTGATCACTAGGAAGCTCAGGCCCAACTCCAAGGTCCACGTCCTCTGTGTGGAGCCCGAACAGCTTAACCCCTGCCCCTGAATTTCAGGTGATTTCTTTTTGTTCCTGCAATTTCCCTCTGCTCTCATTTCCTCGCTGAGGCTTTTCCATTTCCTTCTCTCTTGCGTCCTATTTTTGCAAGGCTTCTTACATCCCTTGTGGGGCTAGATGGGCATTAATTAGCCGGTCAGTCCTTGCTTTCTGTGAGGTTTCCAATAGCTCTGCAAAAGCAGCCAGGGTTTTGATCAAAGCTCCCCAAAGGAGAGTTGAAATGTCTGCGCTTCACAGGCCAGATCTCTCCTGTGAAGTGGATGAGCTACCTGGGGCTGTGTAAAGGCCAGGCTTCTGGTCACCGTGACCTCCTGAGGTCAGCAGCCCCATCTTGTGCCTTGGAAATGAGCTCAGGGTAGAGCCGAGGGCATCCAGACTGGGCAAGCACCTTCTTTCAGACCACAGTGGTCCTGGCACATGGGTGCCCAGCTGAACTTGCCTGTCCCTGTGAAATGCCTGAGGTGGACAGAGCTCTGAGCTGGGCGCTCCTGGGGCAGAGACCTCAGACTTTCTTTGGGCAAACAGGTAAAGGAGATGAGATCTGGCACCAACCTGCACTGTCTGCAATCAGGACATAGTGTCAGAGTAAGCAGGCTGGAGGAGAGACGGGGCGAGGAGCAAAGTTTTGTACCCATGGAGTATAAAGGAAGACTGGAGGAGAGGCTTGGAAGCTGGAGAAGTGGGCAGTTTGGACTTGTAATATAGTGTAGGGTTGGGGAAGGGCAAACCAGATAGAGGGAAGGCAGGGGCAGAGGAGCAGCCTGGGCAGCTGTTCTTTAACTGGAGATTACTCTTCAGAAAAGCAAAAAAAAAAAACCTGGCAGTGGGTTGGGGCCTGACCAGGAGGCTCGAATGCTGGCCTGAGTTTGTATTCAGTCCTGTAGGGCAGTCCTGGGGACCATAGAGAAATGGTGGGCTCTAGGAAACATGGATAGAGGGACTGGGGAGGAGTGAGAGAGGACGTTGGTGAGACTGGAGGCATTTGGCCCAAGCAACAGTGGGACTGAGAGACCACAGGATCTCATGTGTAGGTCACTGATGAGGCCTAGATCCTCTTACAGGCCATTCACAGTCAGGCCCTGCTCACCCCTCCAGCATGTATTCTCTCTCACTCACTTCACTCAACTGATATGTGGATTTTTTCTTGTTAACTTGCTAATCTTACTGGACCACATGGAATTCACTAAACTTTCCATGTTGGTTTCTATCCTGGAGCCTTTCCTCAGTCTGTTCAATCTGCCTGAACACTTTCCCCCCAGCTCATTCTGTGCTGCCTCTAAGGCCAACTCCTACTCATCCTTCAAATCCCAGTTCATGTGTCACCACCTCTGGGAAGCCCTCCCTGACTGCCATGTACAAACCTCCATTATTACCTAAAGTACACTGGGTCCCAGACTCACAGTGGCCTCACTCATAGTCCCCTTCATTCCTGTAAGGCTGGCTCAGACTTGGACTCTTCTAAACCCCAATGCCTGACAAAGGGTGTAGGCACACCCAAGGTGGTTCTCAGTAAATACAAGGCTGAATGAAGAGTGGGAAAACGTGCAAGATGCCTGGGTGATAATAGTAGTAGTAATGTTAGTGCTGATCAAGGGAGTTTCATGTGTCAGTTAATTTAAGCCTCGTTACAAGTTTATGAGAAAATTCTTTTTCATCCCCATTTTACAGTTGAGAAAACTCAGGCTTTGGAAGTTAAGTATTTGCCCATTGACTGGCGAGAGGTCACGCTGGAATTGGACAGTATGCAGGCTGACTCCAAAGGACTCTGTTACAGAGCTGAGCAGGGGCCAGGGATCCACTGTCTGCCATGATGGATAGGGAGGGATGTGGCAGATTCGCTCTGGTTTTTCTGTCGTTTTGTGTCCACTTAAAGGGATGAAAAACAGCCAGGTCAGTGGTAATTATCTGCCATCCCAGAAGTCCATAGAAATAGCCACAACTTAGCACATTGGCTTGGTTACCAATCATAATGTAACAGGTTGGACCCAGGAAAAGGGGAATTTCCAGGTTCCCTGCCCCACACAGAAGGAGGGTGGAGCTGAGCAGAGAAGGGAAGAATCTGGAGAGGAGACTGAGGAGGAAGGAAGCAGGTTGGGAGCCAGAAGGAGACCTGAGGGAGGCACAGGGAGCAGAGAGACGTGTGAAGAAACCGTGCTTGCTCTTGGTCCTGGGCTTGATAAAACAGATGAGGGTGAGAGACCCGTGGGGAGTTGACTATGGCAACATTTATCTTGATTTTCATTTTGTTCTTTTCCTCCCTTTGTCTGGCCGCTTCTGACCCTTTTCTATGGGTCCCGGCCAGAAGGTGCTTTAGACTTGTGACGGACTTCAGGCCTTGCTTTGGGTTGGTCCCTTTTGTGTAGTTTTATCCACAAGAGGATGGGTAACTTTGGGTGTTTGATTTAGAAAGTATATTCTTTGTCTTTTCTGTAGTGCACACTCATTGTATTAAAGTTCCTTTCCGTTAAAAGTCTTATATGTTTTATCTTGATGCGGCAGATGGCAGAACCCATTTAGAGCAGGCAGGTTTGGGGGGTTCAGTGGTACCCCTCTCCCTGCAGTGTAACAATAAGGTGTCACTGTCAGTGCAATGAGCCTCATGCCTCTGTGCCCTGTTTGACTTCCCCAGATGTCATGGAACCCCCAGTACCGGAGCTCCAAGTTCCGCCATGTCTTTGGCAAAGCAGCCAACAAGGAGAACTGCTACGACTCAGTGCCCATCACCAGCAGTGTCCACGACAATCACTTCTGTGCTGTGAACCCCCACTTTATTGCCATTGTGACTGAGTGTGCCGGAGGAGGGGCCTTCCTTGTCATCCCCCTGCACCAGGTAAGGATTCTTGGTAAGCCCCAAACCCAAACTGCCTGGCGGCAGCGCAGAACAGGAATAGTAGAAATAGCCTGGGTTCCTGGTCCCATATGTGGCTTAAGTAAGTCCCCACCAGCCTGCCTGTTAACAGCCCTGTGACCTTGAGTAGGTCATTTCACCTCTGAGCTTTGACTTCCTCATTGAGAAAAAAACACTCCTCTCCTGGGAACTTGGGCCTCCGCAGTTGCCTAGCTACTGCTTGGACCTCCCCACTTCAAACAGTTCACTCTTGAATGTTTTAGTGCTCTGTGGGGCTCACAAGACATTGGGAAATGTCCAAAGGCCCTCCTTTCCCCCCTCCCAAAAGGAAACAAGCGTTGAGCCAAAATCTAACTAGGAGAGAGGTAAGCAATAAGCAAACAGGAAGAACAGGTTCCCCTGCAGGCAATGTTTACAGTGTAGGTGCAGGGTACCCAGTTGCTGATGTTTCCATTTTTTGCCCCAAGTGGTGGTTTTATTTAAATATATGTAGATGAACCTAATAACAGATCTTTTCAAGAAATATAGTCTCTGCCTTAAGACAGAACCTCCAGAGAGACTACTCGGTGCCCCATCGTAGCCTAAACCTTTCCAGGGGAAAAGATTTCCAGTGTGCAGAGGTTTTCCACAGATTAAGATCAGTGCGGGTCATCACTGGAGATGACTGAGCACTTCAGCTGCCAGGAGCACAAAGAACTTGAGATGTTAAAATCAGAAATAGAAATTGGATTTTCATAGACCAGTTTTTCTGATCCTTGTGCCAATGAGTTAGAAGTCAGGAACAAAGATACATGAAATTCCCATTTATTTGGAAATATAGAAGCATATTCATAAACAACCAGGTCAAAGATGATATCAAGGCGAAGATTTAAAAGTACTTGGGACTGAGTGATAATGCAGAATGTATATTGCATTATACGTATACTGAGTATATTGCAGAACATGTGGAGATGCAGAGATAGGGGTGCTCAAGGGAAATATATACAACTGCTGCTTCTGTTAGGACAAAGAGGTCAGCAGAAGAGCCATAGAATAAACCCAAAAA